CTGAGATTTACTTGAGAAGCATCTATGGATGCAAGTCAGAGTCTGGTTTGCTTCATCAGCTGTGACATAGCACTGGTGGCTTATGTTCATCTTGCGGTCAGTCATGACCCCCCAAGTCTCTTTCGGCTTTGGTGCTAGTGAGCGTAGCACTGCTGAGCATATAAGCATGCTGCGGGTTTGTTTGTTTTTCCCCAAGGTGGAGTACCTTACATTTGTCAGTAGTGAATGCCATCAAGTTGTTTCAGCTTGTCACTTTTCACTCTTTTGCAGAACTACTCTATGTCTGTATACCTTGTTCGTCAGCTTACGTCAGCCATGCTGTTGCAGAGGTTAAAAATGAAAGGTATCAGAAACCCAGATCATTCCAGAGCACTAAGTAAGTTTTATATGAATTTTTCTACTTTTTGGGGATGGTAGGGCTTGGTAGGTAGCTGTTTAGAAATGGTAAAAGGATTTGCAGCATTGAGTGGAAGCACTGGATCCCCAGAGTAATTTGCAGTGCTGTTACTCTGATATCTTGCATTGCCCAACTACTGTGCTTCCATCCACCCCACCTGGTTGCTGTTGAGATCTTTCCCAAAAATGTTAGTAGCTCCTTCACGGTATGGGCTCTCAGATGCAGCATCCATTTGGGCTCTCCATGTGAATGGGGTGTCTTCAGCCCTTTGTGTGTTAAAGAAAAGTTGTTGTTTTTTTTTCCTTTTTTTTTTCTTTTTGGAATAATTGTTTGACATAATTCTTTGGGGTGGCATGGGGTATTTGTTGTGCTTCTGCTCCCCGTGCTCTCCCATGTATTTATTGTTTAGGGTCTGCTTCTCAACCCATTGGTGTGGGTCAGTGGTAGAATTGTTGTCTGCCACACAGGAGACCCAGGCTCCATTCCTGGATGGGTATATAACTACAACCATTGAGGCACTGAATGTCTGGACTTGGTCCAGCCTTTGGCCTGTTTCAGTGCTCTAAAGAGGGGATGGAAGGTCTGGGCAGCCTCCACTCCTTATTCCTGCCTAGATGTACACATCTAAAGTCCTGGCAACCTTTCACACCTCCAGAAGGATCAATGACTGCCTATTAGTATGCTCCTCAAATGAGTGCTACCTACTGTGGCAAGTCAGTGGAGCTGTTCCTGCTGGTAGTAAATACTTGGATTGCTAACATTTGCAGGATTGAGTTTTTAAATTAAGAAACTAGTACCCATTCAGTACCTGCTGCAAGCAGATCTTCACAATATCTCACTTCAGATGGTGACATGTGGAAAACTACACATACAAGCATCAGAGATAGTATTTTAATAATGTAGGTGTCTGTGTATGACACTTCTTTATTTTTAATTTTTTTTATTTTAATAGTTAAAGAAAAACTTACTGCAGATCCTGATAGTGAAATTGCCACAACCAGTCTGCGGGTATCTCTAATGTGTCCTGTAAGTAAAGTTGAAGGAATTATATGTGCACGCTTTTTGTGTTTGAAGACTTACTTGTTTTTTGTGCAACTTTGAACTCCATGGTGCACATCACAAAAGGATCTATGTTGCAAATTATTTTAATAGGTTTTATTTAGAGATTTAAAAAGCACTTACTGTGGATCAATACTAGCAACATTCAACAAGCTGGAGCATAAAAATGTGATGACCATCAAGTGCAGTGTAAAATAATACTTAGCTCTTGTTCACCTGTACGTCTCGAGCCCTTCCAAATGGAGGGGCAGTATTGTTTCATCCTCTCTTTAGAGAGTGAAACTGACCTATTGAAAATCAAAATTTGCTTGCTTACAATCTTGAAGCAGGTAAATGGCAGATCTGTGGATAAAAATCTGGTGTCCTTGCCTATGATATACCATGCTGCCACATCCTTTGTGAAGGTATCCAAACCCTGACTGCTTCTGGAGCAAACCAAAACAAAACACCTTTGTGAGCCAAAGTTCTTGGGTTTTGTTTCCACTTGGGTTTTGACCATGACAGTCATTTGCCTGCCCTGCCTAAGATGGGTACCATCAACATTGGCCAGAGGGAGCAAGCTTTGGGTAAAAGAATGGATGGACACGGATCTGACATCAGCTCCAGAAACATGTGAAAGTCTGTGGCAGAACACGAACCTTGGCAGATCATCAGGTGGTTTTGGGACCGCACCAGGGCTTGAGTGGGCCCAAGGCTCCCTCTGCCCCGACAAAAGTGCCTGATAAGCTGATAGCTGGCCAGCAAGGACTGTGCTGTGGCCAGTTTAAGTCCTGATCCAGCCAGAAATCTGCTGATTGTCAGCTGGCTCTGGGAGCTCTGGCTTGGTGGGTCACCAGAGACACCCAGTGCTCAGATTGTTGGGCACCTTTTTACTGGTGCAGAGGAAGCCAGGATCACTGGTATGTAGGACTTGATTGGGATCTGATCCCCAATCCCAAAACTGTATGTCCTGCCTTGCATGTGTGGCTTGGCAGGAGGCACAATTTTGGGGATCACAGATTGGGTTTCATTTTGCCATTTAACTGCAGCCTTGGTTTAAAAAGGAATAGAGATTCTTATTCCATTATCTGGATTAGCTGTTTGGTTTTGTGTCCCTCCAGGTATTAACTGCTTCTACTTAT